TTCTTTATCGCCTCAAATGACGCCGAAATGGCTCGTGAAGGGAGAGGGGGGGGCTCTCGCGAGGCTATGAAGGTATTGTATTATACAAGTTATATCCAGATTGTAACCGTGCAAAACAAAGTAACGGTCCCTATGATTCCCTTGTTACAACTTGTAATAAAATTGTTACATCTTGTTATAACGTTTTTATGACGTATTAGAACGTTGTTACAACTTGTTATATATTGGTTGTTATAATTGTTAGGTGTTAAGGTTTCTTCGAGAGTTGTAGCAACGTTGTAGTTTCGTTGTTTTATTGGACGTCACAATAATACAGGTGACGATTATACACCCAACCCCCACACATCTGAAAACATATATTGACAACGTTGCGGTCCTGCCTGGGCTTGCTGATGGTCCAGGACGGAGCGAAACGTGTTTCACTTTCCCCTACATTGTGATATGTAGCTTGTACGTCAGTTTCCCGACGTTTGAAACGCTCGCGAGAACAGCCTAATGCGCAATACACTATACAAGTTCAAGTATGTTTATTGAGACAAGAAAATAATACATCTCAAAGGGATAGTGTAGCTTAGGCTATTTCTACCCCCTACAGTATACCGCTTACAGTATGGGTATGCAATATCCCCCCCCAACATGCCTGGTCCCAGCCCTCCCCCCATCTTGACCTTTGACCTCTGTACTGGTACAGGACCTTCATCCCAGCTAACGGTTCCTTTTGACCTTCTGCTCTCTGAATCATCCTTAATTATAGCTCATTTTTTTGTCGTGTTCACTTATATTGTGATATGTGGGTTGTGATAGTACGTCAGTTTCTTGACGTTTGGATATATACACTACAGCTCATATATGAGCTGTAGTGTATGTGTGTCGGGTTGTTAAGATTTAGAAGTCTTTTGCAGTCTCCGTGGTGTAGTGGTAAGACACTCGCCTGGCGTTCCGCGAGCGCTATGTCATGGGTTCGTATCCTGGCCGGGGAGGATTTACTGGGCGCAATTCCTTAACTGTAGCCTCTGTTTAACGCAACAGTAAAATGTGTACTTGGATGAAAAAACGATTCTTCGCAGCAGGGGATCGTATTCCAGGGACCATAGGATTAAGGACTTGCCCGAAACGCTACGCGTACTAGTGGCTCTACAAGAATGTAACAACTCTTGTATATATCTAAAAAAAAAAGAAGTAAGCCTAGCATAGCGACCGAAAACAGGGAGATCCTGTCAACAGGGTCGGCGCCACACACCGCCCGCTATCATAACTCACTATTCAATTCCACATCTCTACAACTTTTTCCTTCACCTGCTTCACGTACCTCCCCCTCCCTACGCCTCTCCTGAGGGGGAGCGTGCTGGTTGTGACCTCACTGAAGGAGGAACAGAAGCCGGACAAACTCCCCAGACACACACACCCGGGGAAGATTCTGGTGTGATGGCACCGCAAAAAATATCACTTCCCACACCCACATATTTTCCCCCCTCAATGGCAGGATTGGCGCTGAAGGCTAAACCTTGTGGGAATGGGGGTTCATGGGGCGTGAGGGAGTGGGGAATAGTTGACAGCGAGCAATCACTCTGAAACAGCAACACTAATTTACATAGAAGCCTCAAGCATCTTGCAGAAAGTTATATCATTAACTTTAACTACACACTTTTAATGCCAACTGACCTGCCCGAAACGCTGCGCATACTAGTGGCTTTACAAGATTGTAATTACTATACTATGTATCCTCACAATCTCAATGTACCTTCTTGTATATAAATAAATAAATAAAGATAGAATTCAAACTTGATATTTTTCTAATTTGTGTATCTGGCCTCCTGCTCCCTACACCTATCTTCATTACATTACATTTGGTTGGTTTAAACTCTAACAACCATTTGTTCGACCATTCCTTCAGCTTGTCTAGGTCTTCTTGAAGCCTCAAGCAGTCCTCTTCTGTTTTAATCCTTCTCATAATTTTAGCATCGTCCGCAAACATTGAGAGAAATGAATCGATACCCTCCGGGAGATCATTTACATATACATACATGTGTGTGTGTGTGTGTGTGTGTGTGTGTGTGTGTGTGTGTGTGTGTGTGTGTGTGTGTGTGTGTGTGTGTGTGTGCGCGCGCACCTGTTGTCCTCACACACTTATCATATCTTATATAATGGTCCACCTGTCAACATCACAAGAGTATCAGTGTGCTCTTATACATATTCTCCAACACGAAAGAAATGGCTACTCTCTTTCATCTGATCCCTCTGTTCACCTGGCAGTATGTAGGTGGGTTCTTATTTCGAGTCATATCAGAAATATGACTCTTGAGCGGCATTTCTGAGCGGAATTCATGGTGATTACTCGTATTTAGAGTTTTAAATTACAACTTTTTATACCGAAAATATGCAAATTAGTGAAATATGAGGACGGGAGTGAAGCAGCTATTGCAGACGGCACCCTAAAGATGTGTGTTTGTTTGCTGTTTGTGTCTGCAGGAACGAGGTGTTAGCTGTTGCCGTTGTTATAGATTCAGCTACTAGTTCCAAGTAGCACAGGCTATGGCGAGCCCGTAACTTACCTGGCACAGGAGAAGGGCAAGTAGCACGGGCTATGGTTAGCCTGGACTGCCAGTGTATATTTCTGCTATTATATCTACTACACATTTCTCTGGTACACACGCTAGGTGAACAGGGGGAACAGGTGAAAGAAACTCTGCTCATTTGTTTCTACCTCGACCTGGAATCGAACCCGGACTCTTGGAACTACTACTCCAGAGCCCTGTCCGCTGGGCTCGGCTAAACCACAAATTACTGGGTTAGAAACGGTTGTTGATTTGTGGAACAGATTACCGGACAACACAACTGGAACACTTGATGATATATTGGATTTGTACCCAAGATTAACCATGTAATGTATCAATTATACAATGTATGTATGTATGTGATGTAACTATATAACCTGAGCTTGTGAAAGCACCTTAATCACCTTCAGTGATTAAGTGCTTAATTGCACACTAGTTTCTCTATCAGCTATCTCACCCTGTCAGAGTAAAAAGAGACAAATGTATGTGAATGCATGTGTGTGTATATATGTATGTATATATATATGTATATGTACATGTATGTGTATAAAGTATATATGGAAGCTGACCAGAATTACATTTCACTTTTGTAAATGTACATTAATGACACATCGTAAAAGACACATCGAACACATTATGTAAGGCATACGTAAATCTGTGTATCTATGTATTTACGTATGTAGGTTAGCTTAGCATTTTAAAAGCACCGACTCACCTTCTGTGGTTGATTGTTCAATAAACCCCTGAACTATATGTTTAACACATCTCTAACCCTGTCCATGGAGGACAGAAGAAAATGTATATATGCTGATTAGCATTGTAAATGTCTGGCCACGTCTGTGGTAGAAAATAATTAAAAAAAAAAACAGACGCGGAAGCCCTTGATTGTTTCAAAATTACATTAAACATATATATGAATGAGTTTGGGTAGATATAAATAGAAGCTGCCTCGTATGGCGAAAATAAGCCGCCTGTAATTTCCTTAGATCATACGATAGAGAAAAACAGGTCGTGAGGCAGTGCATTAAACAAAGGTTAGAAAGGCGGGGTCCAAGAGATAATAACTCGATCCTGCAGGCACAAACAGTAAATGCAAATAGTAAAAATATCACAAACACAGTGTCAAAGCATCATATGACAGGAGTACTGGGAGACAGCCCAAGAGTAGCTCTCATCCTGTAACTACACTTCTAGGTAATTACACACGGGTCAATGTGCATATTAGACAATGACAAGACACATAACCCATAAATTTCCTCTTGAGAACTTGAATAAACTGTTACCTGCATGAATAGCGTCGTCTTCTTCATGGAACGAGCAGTCTGCCTTAAACTGCAGTGTTCTGAGACCCAATGGCACATCAGCGTTCATTTGGCAAGGCTTTTGGGGCGAGTTTTCAGTTGTTACAAGGGCGACGAGTGGTCCAGATGTGTTGTAGAGTTAGACCTGTTGTTGGTATTAAGGGCAGCGACTGGGGTCAGCCGTATTAGCCAAGAGTTAGACTTAATAGGCTTGACAGCGAGGGCTGGGCGGTGTGTTTACGGCGTCAGCTGATCGCTTCTGCTTTTGTAGTCAGCGTTTCGTTTTCTATGTTTGGAGATTTTGTCATATTTTGCCCAAATTGATATCCAGCTTCAAAACTATGTTGGATATTTAAAATATTATGCTTGAGTGCTAGTTTTGAGGATTGCACACACATTTTTTGAAGTTTCAAGTAGTGTAGACTGCAATGTGAAAGCCACTATTCCTTCCCGCCGTCCCATCTCAAATCCTTATCCTGACCCCTTCCCAATGCTATATAGTCATAGTGGCTTGGCGCTTTACCTTGATAGATCCCTCCTTCCCGAGACTTATAATATGTCCAGGGGGTTCCAGTTCTCTGGACAGGTCTAATGTAGCCTAGTGTTTTCTTTGGCCTGGGTTCTAAGCTCATTGAGGCTACCACAATAGCTTACTGATCAACCAGCAAATATATTTAGCCCAGGATTTGTTGTTGATTCACTACTTGGAACAAAGAGTTCCAAAGTAGCACGGGCTATGGTGAGCCCGTGGGCGATGAGTTACAATAACGTGGGTGAAGTATGTTGACCAAACCACACACTAGAAGGTGAAGGGACGACGACGTTTCGGTCCGTCCTAGACCATTGTGACACAATTGACTTGAGAATGGTCCAAGACGGACCGACACGTCGTCGTCCCTTCACCTTCTAGTGAGGTTGGTTGCAACGGTCTGGTCAACATCAACTAACTTCGTGGTGTTGGATGCAAATTGTTCATATTGAAGTTGAAGATCCAACAACACCTTTTTCAACTGTTAATATATTGATTCTGTGAAGGAGCGTTCAGCTCAGATAAAATGTTGATGCTAGGATAGTTATGATAGGCTAATTGACTGAACAATTTGAACAATTGAGGAGGATCTCTCATGAGAATATAATAAGAATATAAGGTGTGTCAATATTTAATAACATATACAAATAAATCTTGAGAATAATAATAAAAAGCAGACACAATCAATAGGGAAAAACTCAACATAAGACAACTGCGTTTATTCCTTAATTTTGGAATAGTTGGCTATATGAATATTTTTCTTCATGTGCTCTTCCCAGCTCCTTCCATCAAACGTTTCATATCTGATGCTCTTCACAGTGCCTTCATCTAGGCAATGGGGCGCAATACCTACAGGAGAAAGCGGGAAAACCTTCAGAATCTTAGTAAACTCATTTACGCCATTTACATTTATGTTGAATAGGACAATATTTAATTCAAATTGATATGTTACGTAAAATCTTAGAAAATCGTAGGCAAACATCCCAAGATCGCAAGCCGATCGTAACAACTGAAATTGCTTAACTGAAAGAATATTGCGTTCCAATTTCGGGCTATCTATGTGTCCAATTTCCGAGCTGTGAGGTACTTACCCAGCCCGTCCTCCAAACAAAGACCCAAAAGTGATTCCATGCACCCGCCAGACCCGCTGTTTATAAATGAAAAACGGTTTACACACGACTCACAACTGATTTCGTTGGAACACTTCCGGAACAAGTGCTTCACTGACGAATTTTGGTCGAACCACAACGCTGTAAATGCTTCACCCACGTACTACAAATACAAATAATCGCCAACAGAACCTAAACACCTAACCTAACCTATGCCTATATATGCACAATATGCTAATATATTATAACATTAATTTATATGTGAGAAAATTCCCATTTTGAATGAACAGCATGTAAACATTGATGAATGCGTCTGTGGGGTCGACCACTGGATGTAATGAACTTAGGTCGAGGACGGGTTGACTTACCATAGCCGTCCGGGTTGGACCTGGGGACGTAGAAGGACTGGACGCCGCAGGTGGAGCAGAAGGTGTGCTTGGCGGTGTGGGTGTTGAAGGTGTAGGTGGTGAGAGAGTCGTGCCCCTGCAGCAGCTTGAAGCAGCTGGAGGGAACGATGAAGTGCTTGTTCTGCTTCTTGACGCAGATGCTGCAGCTGTTGAAGGAAAACATTAGGTCAGCTGGTGTCAGCAGCTGATGGCCAAGGTCGTGCTAGGTCAGCTGGTGCTAAGAACTGATGGCCAGGATCACGCTAGGTTATTCTACTATGTAATATTCATTGGTGAATAATTTCTCGGTAGCATTAGGCTATCATCCGTTGTGAAAGTTACCCCTTGTGGCCTCTCGTTATCTCACCATAGTATAGCATATATATGTATGCCAAGCAATATATTTCCAAGTGCATCCTAGTACATGAATGATTATAATGTAATGCCCTAGCAATTCCTTAAAGGAACTTCTTAACAAGAAGGGAATACGAAATTACTTTGCTAGAACAGCTGATGTACTAAAGTGCCCTTATCCTTACCTTCCAGAGGACCCAAAACAGGACAGAACGTCAATTTCGCCAGCCGCTTCCATTTTGTAACGAGGATTTTTGGCTTTTAGGTAAAGTGTATGTCAAAATGCGACGCTCTATTAGGAGGACGGGTTGGTCCTTGACTCGTCTTTCCCCTCACATAGCTTCGATGTCGCCACTGGTCCTTCATTGAGGCTCCTCCACAGGGAAATTCTTGTCTAGCCTCGTCCCATCGCTCTAATTCTCGTCTAGCCTGGCCCCATCCCTCTAATTCTGGTCTAGCCTCGCCCCATCGCTCTAATTCTCGGCGGCGTTCACGCGGTCGGGGGACCACCACCACCGGGATCAACACAACACACAACACACTACACTCCACACTACTTGTATAAACACATCAGTCAAAACACAGTTACACACACATACTGGTGAAGTGGGAGGTCACACCTGCAATCCATGACGGTGAGGCGCTCTGGTGCCATTACCTCGAACCTAACAGCTCCACAGTGGCACCCGCCCTGGTGAGACACAGTGCCACTCTCCATCCTCGCCTGGGTGGACCTGTAAGACCAGGTTGGGTGCCATCAGTGCCATCAGCTTATATATGATCCGGAACTCGCCTTATGAGCACTGGTCTGGTTAGTAAATTACTATTTGAGTCATTAAGGTTCTCTTGTGGCAGTGAGGTCATTCAGTGCCATCTATGACAGTGAAATAATCCTGTGGAAGATGTAGAGGTTAAGCTGGAAGCATATGCCACTGCCACATCTGGACGAATGACAGCCTCTTACTGCTGAAGGTATATATATTTTTTTTTTACAGATTTCCTAATATGAATATAATTGAATTCTCACAAAAAATTAGGATTTTTATCATAAACAATAAACTTAATAAGAATTATATCGTCTTAGGCGTTTACTTCAACATTAAACCTTGTCATATAGCCTAAAGTTGACAATTTTGTTAACTGCATGAACTCCTGCATGCTAATTCCCACACCCTAACCTTCAAGCGAACCAGACTAACATAACAGCCCATCTCACCTCTGTCATAATCACTGACACAGCAACTGACCACTATCCCACCTTCTTCACAACAAACAGAAAAAAAACATCATCGGATATCAAGAAATTAACAGTCAGACTACGCAACAAAAAAGCAATATGCCTCCTCATAGATGCATCTGGGAACCGGAATTCAATAATACACATGATATAAATATATTAACTGATATCTTCCTCACCAAAACTCTAATCCTATAGAACACACACATACAACAAGCAAGTAATTACTAAAACACTGAACAACCCTTGGCTCATAATAAGCATATTTAAGCCAATTATCAAGAAAAAACATAGGACTGGCCTAGTTACCAAAAAAGTAATAAAAAAATACTCACCACCACTTACCAATATAAGAAAAAGAACTAACCTGTCCAGTTTGAAAATAAATGTAAGCAAGCAAAGGGAAACATGAAAAGCACATAGAAAACCACGGTAAATATCCTAGGATCTAAACAATATTCACATAAACAGTTTAAACTCTCCAAAGATGGTAAAACACTGCCCAAGGATTGAGAGAGAGAGAGAGAGAGAGAGAGAGAGAGAGAGAGAGAGAGAGAGAGAGAGAGAGAGAGAGAGAGAGAGAGAGAGAGAGAGAGAGAGAGAGAGAGAGAGAGAGAGAGAGAGAGAGAATGACCTCTGTGTGTGTCAGAGGTCATATATTCCTCTACCCACCTGTGTTTAAAAAAACTTACAACTAAAAGAAGAAGAAGAACGTATACTCATCCTCTTCAAAGGTCTGTGTGACCGTGACTGAGCTCGGCTCAACACAACTCACTGGCCTTGGCGGGGTTGCCATACGTCGCCTCACACAACCCCGACCTCTCTACACATTATATATAATTATTTCATAATTCCTTTTGTTGGGGACAGGAAGCATGTATACATATATATATATATATATGCTTCCCCCAAGGTCAAGTTACTGACCTTCCACAGGATACAGGCTAAGAGATACAGGTGGCATTGTCTTTATATTTTTTCAAGAGATACATTAACTTATTTTTAATTTAATATTTCTTGTCTCGTTCGGCGCTGGTAACTTTGAGTCCACAAGGCTGCTGACATCAGGGTCAGCTGCCCCCAGCACTGCTGACACCATAGTCAGCTGCCCCCAGCACTGTTGACACCATGGTCAGTTGCTCCAAGCACTGTTGACACCAGGGTCAGCTGCCCCCAGCACTGTTGACACCAGGGTCAGTTGCTCCAAGCACTGTTGACACCAGGGTCAGCTGCCCCCAGCACTGTTGACACCAGGGTCAGCTGCCCCCAGCACTGTTGACACCAGGGTCAGCTGCCCCCAGCACTGTTGACACCAGGGTCAGTTGCTCCCAGCACTGTTGACATCAGGGTCAGCTGCTCCCAGCACTGTTGACATCAGGGTCAGCTGCCCCCAGCACTGTTGACACCAGGGTCAGCTGCCCCCAGCACTGTTGACACCAGGGTCAGCTGCCCCCAGCACTGTTGACATCAAAGTCAGCTGCCCCCAGCACTGCTGACACCAGGGTCAGCTGCCCCCAGCACTGCTGACACCAGGGTCAGCTCTACTAGAGGGAGTGTGTGTACTCAGCAGCTGACATCGATGATCTGACAGTCACTGGAAAGCGACGTCAATCAGCATCCCGGAGCATTGATCTTTGTGTCAGCCTGTCAGCTGTGCCCAGCTGACATATATATATATATATATATATATATATATATATATATATATATATATATATATATATATATATATATATATATATATATATATATATATATATATATATATAGAAAGAGACAGTATATATAATGATGCGTCACTGGTGGTAGGATGTCAGGGGGGAGGGATGATGAGGATAATGAAAGATGTATCCTCTGAGAGCCAGGGAATCCGGATTGCATTTTTTTTTACACGAACGTAAACATATCCGGTTAAATAAGGAATTTCTCACGTGTTTTGTGTGTGTGTGTGTGTACTCACCTAATGTGTGTGTGTGTGTGTATGTGTATGTGTATGTGTGTGTGTGTGTGTGTGTGTGTGTGTACTCACCTATTTGTGCTTGCGAGGGTTGAGCTCTGGCTCTTTGGTCCCGCCTCTCAACTGTCAATCAACTGGTGTACAGGTTCTACTTATGTGTGGCTCTCTTGATATGCGAAGATATCAAGCCACACGAGAGGATATCAAGCCACACGAGAGGATATCAGGCCACACGAGAGGATATCAAGCCACACGAGAGGATATCAAGCCACACGAGAGGATATCAAGCCACACGAGAGGATATCAAGCCACACGAGAGGATATCAAGCCCCACGAGAGGATATCAAGCAACACAAAAAAACATCAAATACATAAAGTTAAGCCATACGTGAAGGAGAGTCGCCGTTCATCCTGTAGGAAGAAACGTGACCTCCAAGCAACGCTTCCTACAGCAACAGAGGAAGTCTTTTTAATCCTAGGAAGCTCAAGGCCTTCAATAGAGAAAATGCTACAGTTTTACCTCAAGGGGAACTTTTTTTAGCTTAACCTTGACTCTTGTAGAGAAAATAAAAGTTATATATATATATATATATATATATATATATATATATATATATATATATATATATATATATATATATATATATATATATATATATATATATATATATACATACCATTGACGCTATTTCATAGTTTTCCGGGTAATTCAAGATGTAGGTCACTATACTCTCTCTTATTTTTGTGTCGGGGGACAGGCAGCCAGCGTATATTTATACATGTTAGGTTTATATCGAGGTTCCCCCCCTCCCAAGGTCGAATTACAGGAGCATTTGGTGATAGGAAACGCGCCCAACCACTTCTGTCCCACCCATTATGTGCCTCTGTAACCCTTTCCACTACCGCCCACAAGATAGGTATGAGGTGCATAATAAATAATGTTCCTCCCTGGGATTCGAACCCGGAATTCTTGATTGTGAGTCGAGAATTCGACTCGAATTTAGAAGCATATATAAAAAGACTCGAAGCTGCGGTATATTACTGTCAAGTGCTACATGGAAGATACGTCCAGCAGTCAGTCAGGTTAAGTACCAGTGGACCTGACTAGTGACTGGATGGGTCTTATGAAGCCAACCCCCCCCCCCTCCTCCCCTCTCATGGTGAGAGGACGGGGAGAAGTGAGGCACAAGTTACCTATCCTTGAGAGGCTACACCCGAAGGATAGTGGACAGAGCTCGGGATTCGTAGTCCTGTTGACCGGGGATCGATCCCCGGCGATGGTGGAAACAAATGACCAGTTTCTTGCACCTTGATGCCCATGTTCACTTAGGAGTAAATAGGTACCTGGGAGTTAGACAGCTGCTACGGGCTGCTTCCTCTGTGTGTGTGAGAGAGGCGGGCCCAAAGAGCCAGAGCTCAACCCCCGCAAGCACAACTAGGTGAATACACACTATAACACCTCAGACGGTATGTAATTATGTGTTCGTAGTGGAGTCACACACCTCTACGTGTACAACACTAAGGTAATGTGGGTCAGACAGGTTGGGTTAGGTTAGGGTTGGATAGGGTTGGGTTAGGTTAGGGTTGGATAGGGTTGGGTTAGGTTAGGGTTGGGTTAGGGTTAATGATTGGCGAGTGTTGTACATTCTGCTATGGCGGTATGTTCACTCACAAGATGAGTGGCGCTGCCCAATAAACTCGCCCCTCGGGGCAAAATTTAAAAATTTAAAGTAGTGATGACGTGGAATGGTGAACATTTGTCTCGGGTATTAGACCCTACTCCCGAGGACTCATTTGGTCAGCTCACGAGTTCTCTGCTATTTTTTATATTTACAAAATTATATTTATTTTGTTTGTAATATTTTGGGGGACCCAGTTGCTACCCAGCAACTGTAGCAACTGGGTCAGTTGCTACCCAGACGTTGTCGGAGATGCATGCTCGCCCCCAGAGCTCTGTCAGCCTTCGACCAACCGATATCTCATGAGCTTATAACTTCACTAAAGGAGGAATCAAACACACAGATGTGCCGTTACATTGCTTTATGATATAATAATTATCTACATAAATGTATTTGGTTGCAGGGATGACTTTTAATGTTGGTAGTAGTCTGGGCCCAGATTCACGAAGCAGTTACGGCAAGCACTTACGAACGTGTGTACATCTTTCCTCAATCTTTGACGGCTTTGGTTACATTTATTAAACAGTTTACAAGCATGAAAGCTTCCCAATCAACTGTTGTTATTGTTATAAACAGCCTCCTGGTGCTTCGGAGTTCATTTACTGTTTAATAATTGTAAACAAAGCTGCCAAAGATTGAGAAAAGATGTACGGGTTCGTAAGTGCTTGCGTGGTCTCGTGTGGTTGGTGCTCCTGTGTCACATTACCTGGGGACTTGTTGGGGTGTTCTTCACCTTCTTCCTTTGGGGCTGACTTCATTTCTTTCTTTCTTGGGTCTTCCATCACCTTATTTCTTGGAACTTCTATCACCTCCTTCCTTTTTGTTGGGTTTTCCGTCACCTTCTTTCTTGGGACTTTTATCGCCTTCTTTTTTGGGACTTTTATCGCCTTCTTTCTTGGGACTTTTATCGCCTTCTTTCTTGGGACTTTTATCACCTTCCTTCCTGGGACTTTTATCACCTTCCTTCTTGGGACTTCTATCACCTGCTTTCTTAGGACTTCCTTCACGTTCGTCCTTCAAGCTCTTGCCATCAAACTTCTCATACTTGACCTTCCTGACGGTGCCAGAGTCAAGACAGTGCGGCACTATACCTGAAGCAGACCATACAAGAGCCCTTGTTACACTCAACTCAGAAATGACCATGAACGCAGTCTTTGTGTATATAAATCCTTCTCTTACACAAGAGTATTTATTAATAGCTTGAATGTACCCGAATTTACCAGAGGGCCACAATCTCTTTGGTGGCCTCGATGGATGGGGGGATAAGATGCCAGCGGCTTGTCATAGGTCTCCTCATTTGTCATAATGGATATTATATTTGTATAATGCAATAATTTCATGTATAATGCAGTAATATCTTGTATAATGCAATTATATATTATATAATGCAACAGACTTCTTATCCTATCAGAAACCTTCAGTAACTTAATATTATATTCAATCTATCATATTATCTTTTTACAGTCATTGATGATTCTAAATTGACATTTATAATGACTTTAAACACAATTATTGTTAATATTAGCTATCTTCATCAAGAGTTCTGGAGGCTGACATAGTACTTGGAAGATTGGCTGTTAAGTTCTGTTACTAAGATCTAAGTACCTAGACCAGATTCACGAAGCAGTTACGCAAGCACTTACGAACGTGTACATCTTTCCTCAATCTTTGACGGCTTTATTTACATGTATTAAACAGTTTACAAGCATGAAAAACTTGCCAATCAACTGTTGTTATTGTTATAAACAGCCTCCTGGTACTTCAGAGCTCATTAACTATTTAATAATTGTAAACAAAGTCGCCAAAGATTGAGAAATGATGCACAGAGGCCTGATTCACAAAGCAGTTTCGCAAGCGCTTGCGAATCTGTAAATCTTTTCGCAATATATAGATATAGCGAGCTGTGAGGGACTTACCATAGCCGTCCGGGTTGGACCTGGGGATGTAGCGAGCTGTGAAGGACTTACCATAGCCGTCCGGGTTGGACCTGGGGATGTAATGAGCTGTGAGAGACTTACCATAGCCGTCCGGGTTGGACCTGGGGATGTAATGAGCTGTGAAGGACTTACCATAGCCGTCCGGGTTGGACCTGGGGATATAGCGAGCTGTGAAGGACTCACCATAGCCGTCCGAGTTGGACCTGGGATATAGCGAGCTGTGAGGGACTTACCATAGCCGTCCGGGTTGGACCTGGGGATGTAATGAGCTGTGAAGGACTTACCATAGCCGTCCAGGTTGGACCTGGGGATGTAGCGAGCTGTGAAGGACTTACCATAGCCGTCCGGGTTGGACCTGGGGATGTAATGAGCTGTGAAGGACTTACCATAGCCGTCCGGGTTGGACCTGGGGATGTAGCGAGCTGTGAGAGACTTACCATAGCCGTCCGGGTTGGACCTGGGGATGTAATGAGCTGTGAAGGACTTACCATAGCCGTCTGGGTTGGACCTGGGGATGTAATGAGCTGTGAAGGACTTACCATAGCCGTCCGGGTTGGACCTGGGATATAGCGAGCTGTGAAGGACTCACCATAGCCGTCCGGGTTGGACCTGGGGATGTAATGAGCTGTGAAGGACTCACCATAGCCGTCCGGGTTGGACCTGGGGATATAGTAAGCTGTGAGGGACTTACCATAGCCGTCCGGGTTGGACCTGGGGATATAGAAGGACTGGACGCCGCAGGTGGAGCAGAAGGTGTGCTTGGCGGTGTGGGTGTTGAAGGTGTAGGTGGTGAGAGAGTCGTGCCCCTGCAGCAGCTTGAAGCAGCTGGATGGAACGATGAAGTGCTTGTTCTGCTTCTTGACGCAGATGCTGCAGCTGTTGGAGGAAAACATTGGGTCAGCTGGTGCTAGGAACTGGTGGCCAGGGTCACGCTAGGTCAGCTGGTGCTAGGAACTAGCGACCCGGGTCGTGCTGGGTCAGCTGGTACTAGGAACTAGTGACCCGGGTCGTGCTAGGTCGTTAAGTGCCACCAACTGCAGGCCAGGCGCATGCTAAATTATAAAAAGGAATAGTTGATGGAAGGAGAGCAGGACCACAATAGAAAGGGTTGTGGAAAGTGGTAATGGAAAGGGGGTACTGGACGGATGTAGTGAATGGTAGGGGGAGGGGGAATGAGCATGGGGAAAGCGCCAAGCCATTACGACTATATTGCACTTAGATGGGATCAGTATTTGGGATGGGACGGGGGAAAGGAATGGTGCCCAAACGCTTGGACGGTCGGGGGATTGAAAGCCGATCTGCATATGAAGCGAGACCATCACACTACCGCCCAGCCCAAGTGGTTGGTCAGCAAAAGGGGGAATTACGGAAGGAAGAAGGACAGTAGAAGGGGGAGGGGGGAAATGAGGAGAATGAATAGCATTGGATACCAGTAGAAAGGTCCGTCTGTGACGTCAAACAGGGAACAATGACGCCTAAACCCCCCCACCCTCACCCCGCTAACAACAGAGGGATGAACAACCCAGCGGGTTTTCTTCCTATTGGGGAGTGTTATACATACTACTACGGCGGTGTGTCCACTCACGGGATGATTGGCGCTGACCAATAAACTCACCCCTCGGGGCAACATTTAAATTTAAACATTTAACACAGAGGAAACAGTTGAGAGGCGGGACCAAAGAGCCAAAGCTCAACCCCCGCAAGCACAACTAGCTGATTACACACTGACCCGCTTTCATAACCACAAAATACAATACACATTTCCAAGTCTCACAATAAACAAAAGACAGTCACATGTCTGACATTTAACAAAAGAGAAGCGGGCGTAAGAAAGGGGGGGGGGGGTAGGGTCAGAAAGGTGACAATTGACAAGCCGTCGGCTTCCTGCCCCCCCCTTCCGGGAGACCTGTAGATACATGCTAGCTCACACCCACTACAACTACAGCGTTGTAGCAACTGTATTGGTATCTTTCTAGATGTATTTTTTTGTCTCGATAAACGTACTTAAACTGTATTAGAAATATTGTGTTTGACGGAGTAAACTCATTGTGGTTTACATTGTGTTGATACTATGGTAAACTGGGTGAGTATACGTACTTGCAGTCCCTGACTGTAGGGGTATGAGGGCCCAAGACCTGGAACCTTACGGCGCCACAGTGGCAGCCGCCCTCATGGCGTACCGTCGTGCTCTCTCGTACCGTCACGTGCACCTGTAACGGTACACACACCATTAACACTGTGCAGGTGTGGCTGGGGTGTACACATGTGGCTGGGGTGTACACATGTGGCTGGGGTGAACAGGTGTACACCCACAGACAAAAGTTATTGTTTACAGTTCGATCTGTGAGACATATTGCCATAACAAATAACAGAATTAAGAGAAAATGGGTCAATTTGTGGTATAACTAACACAAACTAATTATACCATGATGATCTAGATGTTATCACGGGCCTCGGCGTCCCATATAAACAGATTCAGGCGCTGACCTGCATCAAAATCACACACTTCCGAACACACACATACTTCCGAACATTACAGCTCCGAACACATAGATCATGTAACACAGAAATAATTTCACTTTGATTTAAAATGCTTGTCTATAAGGCATATCTTTGTGACAGTAATTCCTCAATAATTTCAAGTATCCCGCTGGGGATATTCCTGCTTTCTCTTTTGTTATAATGGCGAGTGGTTCAGTCTCCACCAATGACACTTGTTCGATTCCTCCAGCTCGAATGCTTCTTTCTGAACCGTGGCTCTTTGTTTCCTGTCTTTTAGATACTCTCTTACCCAGTTGAGTGTCTTACCAGTTATGCAGTCCGTCCTCCAAAGACCCAAAGTCCATTCCATGCACCCGCCAACCCCCCTGTTTATAGATGAAAAACGGTTTACACACGACTCATAAGTGATGGCGTTCGAACACTTCCGGAACAAGTGCTTCACTGACGACTTGTGTTCGAACCACAACGCTGTGAATGCTTCACCCACGTACTACAAATACAAATAATCGCCAACAGAACCTAAACACCTAACCTAACCTATGCCTATATATGCATAATATGCTAATATATTATAATACTAATTTATATTTGAGAAAATTCCCGTTTTGAATGAATAGTAAAAATGTATGAATGCGTCTGTGGACCCGACCGCTGGTTGGAATGGACTTGAGTCGAGGACGGGTTGGTTATACCAGCTTGGTCTGTCACCTTGTGTGCCGGGCCTCTCACACCAGAGACATTAGCAAATGATTTTTGACAGTCTAGAAAAATATGTGGGTGATGGTGGTATGGGAGTAGGAAATGGGTCGGGGGGGGGGGGGGGAGAGAGGGGGAGGGGGTTGTAGGGGTGGGGTGAGAGGTGAGAGAGGGGGTGAGGGTAATGACAATTGAAGAAAATATATTGCATGTTTAGGCTGGGAAAGTGAAGGTTAACAGAGGGGGGGAGGGGGGGGTTGATGAGCCGTGGTATACTCACCTAGATGTGCATATAGGGTCGAGCGTTAGCTCTTGGGTCCACTACCCCGCACAAGATGGGTATGGGGTCCACTACCACCACCCACGGGATGGGTATGGGGTCCACCACCACCACCCACAAGATGGCTATGGGGTCCACTACCACCACCCACGGGATGGGTATGGGGTCCACCACCACCACCCACAAGATGGCTATGGGGTCCACTACCACCACCCACGGGATGGGTATGGGGTCCACCACCACCACCCACAAGATGGCTATGGGGGTCCACTACCACCACCCACGGGATGGGTATGGGGTCCACTACCACCACCCACGGGATGGGTATGGGGTCCACCACCACCACCCACAAGATGGGTATGGGGTCCACCACCACCACCCACAAGATGGCTATGGGGTCCACCACCACCCACAAGATGGGTATGGGGTCCACCACCACCCACAAGATGGGTATGGGGTCCACCACCACCCACGGGATGAATGCATAATTAATACATAAACCAGGCAAATCACCCGTGCTTGCAATCTCCAGCACAGTCAAGTAAACTTGTCTAAGCTTTCTCTTAAAGCTGAGACGCCGAGCTTTTCAACAAGCGCGGCTGCATCGCCTGTTTCTTAGTGTTGTAGGTAGCGAATCTTAAACAACAACACACACACATTACAAGAAACAAAACAATGCTACACTGAAGTAACCTGGGGCCAGATTCACAAAAGCACTTATGCAAGCACTTACGAACCTGTACATCTTTCCTCAATATTTGACGGCTTTGGTTACATTTATTAAACAGTTTACAAGCATGAAAACTTGTCAATCAACTGTTGTTATTGTTATAAACAGCCTCCTGGTGCTTCGGAGCTCATTAACTGTTTAATAATTGGAAACAAAGGTGCCAAAGATTGAGAAAAGATGGGCAGGTTCGTAAGTGCTTGCGTAACTGCTTTCGTGAATCTAGCCCCAGGACTAAGCCTCAGGGAGGAGACTCTACTGTAAATATATAGCTCTTGAAACATTCTCTGTAACTAGGTGACATTATAATTATAAGGTGTGAAGGGTAGATGAAATTGTTAATGTGATTATCTCCGATGAGGTCTGATAAAAACCTTTTGTTCCCTCTGTAATGCTTTTTGCGCTACCGCTCACAGGATGAGTATGGGGTGCACAATAAACTAGCCGTCTCCGGCGGCAATAACAACAGCTGTCCGTTATGTATTTGTATCAGAAACCAGCCACTGGAAGGGCTGGGCGTCCTTCCCGCGAAGGGCTGGACGCTCCAGAATTTAAATTTTTAAATTTTGCCCCGAGGGGCGAGTTTATTGGGCAGCGCCACTCAGAAGTCCCCACAAGCCTAGCACGGGTAGGGCGAGAGGACGCAAGTGGACGCTGGAAACACAATTGAATAGAAGAAACACAAGGAAATTGAAATTGAAATAAGTTTATTGAGGTAAACTACACACAAAGGGATGAGGTAGCTCAAGCTATTCTCACCCCATTCAGTACATCGTGTTAATACATACATATACACACATCACAAACAATAAACATATTACCGAACATTCTGAGAGATAAACATACATTTCCTCCTGAAATACAAGGAAATACTTGTATTTCTACTAAATACATCCTGTACGGGTGGTCAACAAGTAGAAATGCGCAGAGAAGTTGTGGAAGCCTCTTCCATCCGCAACTTTAAGGCCAGATTCGACAAAGAATTCAAACGTCAGAGTAGCTAAACTATAAGGCAACAGATCTAGCAAGGTTAGTAGGCGGGGCATAAAACACCAGACCTCACTTCCTGGTAGTCATAATAGGTAGTTAGTGTTAGGTAAGCACTCCCACCATCACCTTGGAGAGGAAGAACCACAACTCCCAAGAATATGAAAGAGAAAACACCGTCCAATGATAAACTTTTTCTTGGACAAAGTTGGCTGATACGAGTAATGTTGTCGTGAGATACGGACTTGGTCGTGAAGAATAGTTTCTCCTCACCCAGTCACCTTCACCTCTACCACCATCACAGCCGCTGTTGCCACCACTGGCATCACTACCACTATCATGGTCACCACCATTACAACCACAACCATCAGCAACACTACAACCCACATCAACACCTTCATCACCACCAACACATACTCGTCACTATTGGTCACTGGAGGAATGTAAACAAGTGGGGTCCCCCAAGGCTCAGGCCTGAAACCACAACTGTTTTTATGTGAGTGACTTCCCAGAGGGACTGAGCTCGTACACGTCAATGCTTGCAGACGACATAAAAGTGATGCCCCTGGAAAGCCGAAACTGTCTCTATTTTCCGCTTGTTACAACTTGTAATAAAGTTGTTACATCTTGGCTTAACGTGTTTATGACGTATTAGAACGTTGTTACAACTTGCTATATTGGTTGTTATAACTGGTTAGGTGTTAAAACTTGTTCGAACTTTGTACCAACGTCGTAGTTTCGGTGTGTGTTTGGCGGGTGTAAAATGTAGAAACAGAGGAAGACTCCAGAACGTTACAGGAACAAGACCTTGACAAATATCAAAATGGCTAACAAATGGTTCCTGGAGTTCGATTTCAACAAGTGTAAGGTGACGAAGAAAGGAAAATGATAAGGTAGACCATAAGGAAAAGGTAACTATATATATACACCTCAAGGAAAAGGAAAATACAGGAGTCGGAGAGAGAAAGGGATTTTGGAGTGGATGTAATTCCGACACTTTCTGCAGTGACAAGCATAAACAGGGTCACATCAGCAGCATATGGGACGCTGACAAATATCAAAATGTCGTTTAGAACCCTAAATCAGGGTTCCTTCAAGGCATCCTTCACAACCTATGTTAGACCAATACTGGAATATGCAGCACCAGCGTGAAATCCCCCCCACCATGTGAAGTATAAAGGCAAACGCAGGTTTGCCTTTATACTTCTTCTAGTAGGGTTAAGGTACGAGGCTACCCGGGAGGATAGAAGAAACAGTGGGGATATGTTCACAGCATACAAAATACTGAGGAGACTAGACAAGATGACACCTAAGCCAGCATCACCACTACCATAAAAACCTTTGAATTTTAATTTGCTAATAATACTGAACACAACACAAAGTATATAATACAACCTCTCTAAAGGCCACACTATCAATTATGTTTTGCAATACAGGTGAAACATTTACTAAAGCGGCACAAAGGGAATTCAACACTATCATCCTCATAATTCATCACTATCACCATCAACTACACGTGAATGCTCTCCATCCGGTCAATTCAAAGAGTAACATCCGGCTTCCTGTTGGTGATGTGTTGAACGCTGAGCTGTAGTGTGGCCGTACGGGCTCGCCGTAGCCTGTGCTACGCGAAACTTTTAGTTCCGTGTAGCTAAAACAACAACATATGGTGTGTCTGTCTGTCAAAACCTCATTTGACAATTTAAAGTTTACTTGAGAATATTTACTCGAATTGTCTATCGAACATTGATGGCCTTTAGTAAAATAATGTGAATCCTTTATTTATGTTTTTCAAAATGAAGACTAATGGCTTTTGCGATTAAATTAATGTTTCAGCACAATAGACGTTAAGCTAACTGGCTGATAGTTCGTAGTGATCTGTCACCCTTCTACCCTAACCTCTCCTACCCTAACCTAACGTATCCTAGTCTAACCTAAATCACGAAACCAAGAGATCAAATTTTGCTTTGTATATGGTGCGTCCGAAGTGTGTGAAGATCAGTGACCATGCTGGAACAGGCCTTAGATCCTGCTGTCTGTCATGGTTCACACCAAGGAAGGCACGAACCAGCAACATTTATGTACGAAAATAGATCTCTAACCCTGTCTATGTAAAACTAACGAGAATGTGTGAATGTTGTCTGGCATTTGAAAACACTTTAGTCACCTTGTAAGTGCTTTCGAACTCAACATTGTCCAACAGATCTCTAAAGCTGTTCATGAAAGACAAAAGAAAATGCATGTAATTCACTTTTCATTTCAATGAAGGTCATTCATTGACCTTACCCAGAATGCAACCAAGAACTAGACAATGTGATGTTATAGTGGCCAGAATACGTCTGGGATATAGACATATCTGGAAGCTTTCTCAGAACACAAATGTCGAAATACAGCTTGTGTCAACTTTGTGAAAGAGAAAACATGCATTCCCTTAAACATAATATTATAGAATGTCCCATATTGACTGACTTTCGCCCTCCTGTACTGAGGTATACTGAACGCTGTAAATACTATATGAATATTTGAAAATTTGATAATATATTGGACTTGGACTTGATAATATAATAACACTTGATAATATATATTGGGCTACATATACAGGATATGTAGAAGCTGGTCAGAATTGCATTTCACATTTGTAAATGCACATTAAAGACACTATGTAAAAAGACACCTCGAACACTGTTCATGTAGGACAGACGTAAATCTGTGTATTTATGTTTGTAGGTTAGCTTAGCATTTTAAAAGCACTACAATCACCGTCAATAGTTAATTGTTCAATAAACCACTGAGCTATATGTTTAACAGATCTCTAACCCTGTCCATGAAGGACAAGAAAATGAATATATTCTGTTTAGCATTATAAATGTGTGGCCACGTCTGTGTTAGAAAATAATAATAATAATAATAATAATAATAAAATCCCACACAAAGCTGACTAGCTCCTGAGTACCTATTTACTGCTAGGTGAACAGAGGCATTAGGTGATAGGAACCGTTCATCGTATAAATATATGGCACGTCTGGGGTAGAAAATAAAATAAAAACACGAAGGGCAGCCATTACCAGACGCAGCCAACAGCATAAACAAAAGTTTCCTGTTGTGACCGCCTTGACCAAGGCTGACACCTTGCCAAAACTCCTCTTCAAATATACTTAAACCTCTCCTAATCCTAGCAAATATGTTTTGCATATATTGATCACAAATCCTGAAATGAACGTTGGAATATAGGATCAGGCTCTTCCTGTGAATTGCTCATTTTTTTGTCGTTATAAGAATTGTTTATTTACTAGCTCTTCATGAGGCTATATGATACTAGTTCTCATGAGGCTATATGATACTAGCTCCTCCTGAGCCTATATACTAACTCCTCATGAGCCTATATACTAACTCCTCATGAGCCTATATACTAGCTCCTCATGTAGCTATGTGACACTACCTCCTCATGAGGATATATGATACCAGCTCCTCATAAGGCTATAAGATACTAGATCAAATCAATCTAATGTCATTGTGCATATTACTTTGCAGTTAATCACTGTAAAAACAGAAATATTAACTGCAATTAATTACATTTACTAAGTTGACCACTAAATAATCATCCTAACAGCCAGAATAATAACCCAGAGGTGTTATTAACAATAATATTTAGTACTTAAAGTAATTAATAGGTGTTATCAAGGCATCATTCCAGGAGGTCATTTGGTGCACTGAGCCCATGTGTTGGGGTACGCGGCTTGGGCTTTAATATACTTCCTAAGTATATACTTAGGAAGTATAATATACTTCCTAAGTATATATGCTTTAATATACTTCCTAAGTATATTAAACTCTTAAATTGCCTTTCCTGGCTGACTTACCATCTTGCTGGAAGATTGTGTGTGGGAGCTGGTCTGATATTGCCTGTTCTCAACTGTTGTCCTGTGGCTCGACTGTGCAAGTGGAGTCTGTTGGTAGGTCTTGTGTCTGGTGCGTCTGGTAGCTGGTGCGTCTGTAGCTGGTGCGTCTGGTGGCTGGTGCGTCTTTAGCTGGTGCGTCTGGTGGCTGTTGTGTCTGGTGCGTCTTTAGCTGGTGCGTCTGGTGGCTGGTGGCTGTTGTGTCTGGTGCGTCTTTAGCTGGTGCGTCTGGTGTCTAGTGCGTCTGGAGGCTGGTGACTGGTGCCGGGGAAGATGAATACGACGCTGGAAGCAGGAGTGTTGGGAGCGGCCAGAGACGTCCACTGGCGGAGGAGCAGCAGCAGCACAGAGGTGCGAGCACGGCAACGGACACAGCCACAACTAAATGCTGCATGATTTGACGCCACGTATATATGCATTCTCTACCTCCCCCACCACCTCCCTCACCCCCCATCTTCAACTTCCTGTTTACCCCCACCTGACAAATCCCTCCAACTCATCTGCTCATCTTCTCATGATCATCTTGTATCTTATTTTCCTTCTTGCTACACTCTCTCCCTCCCTACATGCCTTACCTCTTCACATCATCCGTTCTAATGCAATTATCCGCGGTTATATATTAGGCTTCGAAATATTATAGACGAGTTCCAGGCTGTATTGCTGCAGGTTTCAATGTCCTGGATGTAATGTTCCAGTCTAAAATGTCCAGATATTAATGTTTCATCCAGCAATGTCTAGGCAGTAATGTTTTAATTTGAAACATCCATGTAGCGATAACTCGGCTTCCTGAAGCATTCCAGGAAGGAATGCTTCAGTTTAGAGTTGGAAATGCTCTAGGTTTGCTCTAGACGATCAGCCGCTGATCCAGACTGAATTCCGAATTGGTGGAGTTCTCTTGTTCCAGAGCTTTTAGAGATTTGTTCCAGACTGGTTCCAGAGCTTTTTGAGATCTCATGCTCCAGACTGGCTCCAGACCTGATGGAGATATCTTGCTCCAGACCTGATGGAGATACCTTACTCCGGACCTGATGGAGATATCTTGCTCCAGACTGGCTCCAGACCTGATGGAGATATCTTGCTCCAGAGCTGATGGATAATCCTTTCATCTGGTGCACCAATCACTTCGTGTTGAAGGTACCCACAATATCTGCTCATACATTCGTTATCAGTGTAACGTACAATTCGGTAACAGCGTTAACAAAGCGTAAGTCGCTTTGGATAGAAACATCATGCAAAGGAAGACAATAGAAGGCTGCATTTCTATGCAACAATAACAGATGGAGTTCCCCAGTGCTCAGGTGGATCCCAAAGTGTTGCGTCATGGGATCATGCCCCCCTGAAGGAGGGGCAATGGAGACGACCTTCTCGACCCCGCCTATTACAGTTCTTGACAGTTTGGTCATTTATTGGGTTCAGGAACTGAACCCGACAGTTCATTTAGCTAAACCAGTAATAATATAAGAACATAAGAACAAGGTAACTGCAGAAGGCCTATTGGCCCATACGAGGCAGCTCCTATCTATAACCACCCAATCCCACTCATATACATGTCCAACCCGCGCTTGAAACAATCGAGGGACCCCACCTCCACTACGTTTCGTGGTAATTGGTTCCACAAATCAACAACCCTGTTATATTGTGAAGCTAAAGTCGCTTTGTAATAATATTTACATGTAAATATTATTATTAAACCAGTAATAAGTCAGTCACACAGTTACTAATCTTGCTCCACACCCAGCCAACTGGGCGGCAGCTTTACAGTCATGTGCAGGCTGCATCTACATGACTAGACAAACTCTGGATACCTGGCTAAGATTCCTGCAACCCGTCTTAATCAACAAACGTCAAAGGCTTGTTAATCCTGAAACCGGTCCTCAGGCCAGGCTCGTTAGAGGGGGCGGCTGTCACTCAAGACGCAATAAGCAGTGTATGCGTGTTCGCTGGAGAGTGTTCGCTGCTGTTCTCGTCTTTTAGAGGGTTGAAATAGCCTAAGCTACTCTATCCCTTTGAGATGTATTTTATTATCTCAATAAACGTACTTGAACTTGAACTCGTCTTCCAAGACAATAAAATGACCAAAAATGAGGGAATAGAAGTTGATAATAAGTTAAGAATATGAATAAATAGATGGCCCATTATCATATAATTAGCGCATGTCTTCAAATAATGTGTAAGCTAGGTTCTTTTAATTTGTCCTTATACAATTTAATGAATAAAAAGGCTTTCCTGCATTAACATCTTTATATTATATTAATCCCATCAACATACCTACATTAAAATCAGTGTACAATTCCGGTTTCGGCTCCACCACCGCCTCACTTGTTCCAACATTCTACCACTCTGCAAAAGTGGACTTTCTAATTTTTTATCGGCAGTTTTATTTCCTTAGTTACTGAGCGACTTTCTTTAGCTTGTATGATGCCAATAAACTATTCCTACATTTACAGTTGTTCCCTCTTGTGAAGCCTTAAACAAAATTGTTCTTGTAAGGGCGCTGAAATTCAGTCGTCCCAAGCCTCGGGCAGGCTGTTGACTGTTGACTGTGACAATACCCAATCTCACCCCATAATAACGATACCGATGTAATACCGAGTTACCTCGGTATTACTTTAACGTATATATATATATATATATATATATATATATATATATATATATATATATATGTATATATATATATATATATATATATATATATATATATATATATATATATATATATATATATATATATATATATATATGTGTGTGTGTGTGTGTGTTGCAACCGCCCCGGCAGCACCCAGTCTTTAATTTGGCACCTTTGTGGGACCTTGGTATAAGCCTAACATGTATATATACACTGGCTGCCTGTCCCCCTACACAATGATTTATTATTACCTATTATTTTATCATTTAACTTAAATATTAAATAAAATAATTTATTTAATTATTATAGTAAGTACTTAATAATTTAATAATAAGTAGTAAGTGCATAAAAATGATTAAAAAGTACATAAAAATGACTAAAAAGTACAGTTTAGTCATAGGAGATTCCTAGATTGGAATTCACTACCAAATTTCAATATATCCAAGTATTTTTAGTGTGAAATGCTGTTATTATATGCATAAATTGTTGTTTTAATAATATTACGCTTAACCACTTGGGCTGGACGGTAGAGCGATTTCCTACAGGTCCGCGTTCAATCCCTGACCGCCCAAGAGGTTTGGCACCATTCGTTTCCCCTGTTCCATCCCAAATCCTTATCCTGATCCCTTCCGAGTGCTATATAGTCGTAATGGCTTGGCGCTTTCACTTGACTGTTCCACCCCCCCCCCTGAATAATAGTACTAGAACAGTATTTACGGGCTATTCATGCCCGTGCCACCTCTTGGGTGGCTTAATCTTCATCAATCGAGAGCAGTACGTCCTAACCAGACGTTATATGATGATATCCTGAACAGTTGATAAATAAAAGTAATTGCATAACTCCAGTTATCTAATACTTATCATAAATGGTTTAAAACCTTATCATAAGCCAAGGGATTTGTAGATCAGTGTTTAAAGGGAATTCGGAAGTAATAATGATACAGCTGATGCCATCTGTCGGCAGACGAGAACACTATCAACTGGCTGGTCAACAGTGGCCATAAGATACAGCTTACGCCATCTGTTGACATCAAATTACACTTATAACAAATTACCCCACAAAATACAACTAGCGCCATCTCTTTTTTTTCCAACGCACTATAAATAGCCAAACAGCAACCCATAAGGCGGGTTGTTGTGCTCGGGTAGGAGGTTCCAAGCTCCGCCCACAGATGGTATGGAGTGCATAATAAATGGCATATCATTGGTAGAGACTCTTTGTTGACATTCACACAACAGCCAATCACAGGAAGGGAGCAGCTAAAGGCTCCATCCATTTAATAAATCATCTTTATTCAGCACACTATCCTTGCTTATGACATTCTGCTTCAACTTTAATCTACCTTAAAAGTGAAATGTTAAGTATTTAAAGGTATTAATATAGTGATAATTAAATACTGCAGGATGTAACGAGTGTTACAGAAACATGGGCTGGCTACCTGACTTGTGACGTCATCAGTGGGAGTTGCCTCACGCAAATAATAACGGCGATACAATGCCTCCGCCCAGCTCTTATTGGTCTACATTATTCAGTTAGATGGAAATTTCTGTCTTGTATAAAACAGAAATTGTTGTTCTTTTGTACAACAGCAAGGTTATTGAGCAAATAAAGGACGTATTTCTTATTTTGCATTTTATTCATATAGGCGTTGGCATTCCCCGCAACAGCCAATCACAGGAAGGGATTTGTTGGACGCTCTGCCTTCAACAAAATTTATTCCTAATGAACTCTAACAATAAATTCGTTTAATAAACGAATATTTAGGGTCAAGCTACAGATGAACATTATAGGATAACTATGTTTTAGCTTGCAACTTCGTTAGACAGAATCCCTGGTCTTAATTTTAAAAATATAGAACTAGAAAGCGTATTTTATTGCTAACTTTTCGAGTAATAAATCCCAGTCTCATATTTGCAAACATTTATGCATCGATATTTTGGCTTAAGTTCTAATCATAATCCCTTTTGCAATCTCAACACCATCTGGCTCGTATCTTGTAATTATCTTCGTTACTTAGCCTCAAAACCTCACATTTGTCTTACATATCCTCAACAGTAGATAAAAAAAAGTAATTGCAGAATTCTAGTTACCTAATACCAGCATGGTATAAAACCTTATTATAAGCTACCAGACGTATAGATCAGTGTTTAAAGTAATAATAATACATTATTATTAATGTAATAGTATTATTAAAATAATAATAATAACGCTGATGCCATCTGTCGGCAGATAAGAACACTATCAACTGGCAGGTCAATAGTAGCCATAAGATACAGCTTACGCCATCTGTTGACATCAAATTACACTTATAACAAATTACCCCACAAAATACAACTAGCGCCATCTCTTTTTTTTCCAACGCACTATAAATAGCCAAACAGCAACCCATAAGGCTGGTTGTTGTGCTCGGGTAGGAGGTTCCAAGCTCCGCCCACAGATGGTATGGAGTGCATAATAAATGGCATATCATTGGTAGATATTCTTTGTTGACATTCACACAACAGCCAATCACAGGAAGGGAGCAGCTAAAGGCTCCATCCATTTAATAAATCATCTTTATTCAGCACACTATCCTTGCTTATGACATTCTGCTTCAACTTTAATCTACCTTAAAAGTGAAATGTTAAGTATTTAAAGGTATTAATATAGTGATAATTAAATACTGCAGGATGTAACGAGTGTTACAGAAACATGGGCTGGCTAACTGACTTGTGACGTCATCAGTGGGAGTTGCCTCACGCAAATAATATCGGCGATACAATGCCTCCGCCCAGCTCTTATTGGTCTACATTATTCAGTTAGATGGAAATTTCTGTCTTGTATAAAACAGAAATTGTAGTTCTTTTGTACAACAGCAAGGTTATTGAGCAAAAGGACGTATTTCTTATTTTGCATTTTATTCATATAGGCGTTGGCATTCCCCGCAACAGCCAATCACAGGAAGGTATTTGTTGGAAACTCTGCCTTCAACACAGTGATTCCTAATGAACTCTAACAATAAATTCGTTTAATAAACGAGTATTTAGGGTCAAGCTACAGATGAACATTATAGTATTAATATTGTGATAATTAAATACTGCAGGATATAACAGATGTTATATAAAGATGGGCTGGCGACCTAGCTTGTGACGTCATTATTGGGAGTTGCCTTGACACAAATAATGATACGCTGCTCTGCCCTCTTATTCGAGTAAATTATTCAGTTAGATGGAGATTTCTGTCAGGTGCAAAACAGAAACTGTTGTTCTTTTTCACAACAACCTTGTTGTTGTGCACAAGGACCTATTTCTTAGTTTAAATTTTATTCATAAAAGAGTGTTGGTATTCCCCGCAACAGCCAATCACAGGAAGGTATTTCTGGAAGCTCCGCCTCCTTATGGACTCAGCACATCGCTCTAGCTCATGGCTCTGTTTCATCTCTTGTATATACAAACTATGACTTTTTTCGATTACTGTTATAATTAATAATAGGAGATATAAAAGTTTTTACACAAAATGGCTAAATTCTGCCATTAAATGGACTTTGTCTGGTATACATACACCAATTTATTACCATTCATCCATTATTAATTTCAAATGTAATGCATACTGTCTAGTTTTTTCCTCTTGCCATTACTTGGTGCAATATTTGAAACTTGTCTATTTATTTATCGATCTATCTATTATCTTGTATTTATATTTACAAGTTTTTGTGCTTGGAAGAAAACTCTGCATTGAATTGGGACTAATTTATTAAATAATATTATTTAGTATTAATTAATATTTACAATTATTTATAGCTTAGTTACTTTCATGTAACTCGCAATCGTACATTCTTCCCGATGATTGACTGACACATTTGTCAATCACACTTCACAAATGTGTGAAGTGTGAATTTAATCCTTAAGTAAACAATAATCATAGTCTTAGTTAATTATGGGTTAAATGAGTCACAGAAGTTAACTAAGCTATGTATACTAAGGCTACTACCAGAAGTGGAATGGTTGCTAAGTGAATGCCAGAGGGAGGAGTCGTATTAAATAAACTCATCATATAACAGGTCAAATAGTGAAGTAGGCAAGGCCAATAAGAATGAGAGGTTGGTCTAGATCAGTTGTGAACGCCAGCCAGCGCACAAGTACATGAGCGCCCAAAATACTTTATTTATTTATTTATATATATATATACAAGAAGGTACAATGGGTTTATAAGAGTACATAGCATTGATGTTTATACATTCTTGTAAAACCACTAACACGCGTAGCGTTTCGGGCAGAAAAATACAACTTTAACTTTACTTATACTTTTTACGTCAACTTTACTTTTACACAATAGACATGTGTAGATAGGCGTGTGTTTTTATTAATTAATATTACATGTTAGGCATTTACCCTTAATACAAATTATTATATATAAGTATAACTATCATACAATAAATGTAATAATAGCCTAAGCTACTCTATCCCTTTGAGATGTATTTTTTCTTGTCTCAATAAACATACTTGAACTTGAATAGGAGTCTACTCAAAAACTGGCCACAGTCAAGTGATTCATTGATTGCTAAAGATTAAGCCACCTAAAGGGTGGCACGGGCATGAATAGCCCGTAAATACAGTCAAGTATTTTGTGCGTTCGACCATGTTTGTGGTCCTTCAGATGTAAGGCGTTAACACTTGCTGGCGTCGTTCTTATGAAGCCCGGAATATGTCCATCACAGCACTCAACTTCATTTGATAACCATATGCCTGTTAAGTAGAAGATTTTAATTTGTTTATAGCATTATATTGTGGTTTTAGAATTGAACAATGATATATATGTATACGAAATGTACTAGTTTTGGGAACGCGGGGCTCTCAAAAGTAGCCCAATTCGCTATTTGTAACCCAATCTGCCTACCTAACTTGTGACGTCATCAGTGGGATTGCCAGACACTACCCTCATGGTAACATCGATGATACGATACTCTGCCCCCTTATTGAACTACATTATTCAATTAGTTGGAAATTTCTGCCAGGTACAAAACAAAGATGTTGTTGTGCAAAAAGGCGTATTTCTTAGTTTGCATTTCATTCGTAGAAAGAGTGTTGACATTCCCTTCAACAGCCAATCACAGGACGGTATTTGCTAAAAGCTCCGACTCCTATTGACGTCATCAGGAGCATTTAGCCCACCGATCTAGCTCATGACTTTCTGTTTCATCTCGTATATCCAAAATAGTATTTTTTTTCGATTACTATGATAATTACAGATATGAAATATAAAATTTATTATACAAGATGGCTAAATTTTGCCATTAAAAAGCGCTCATAGTGAATTTGTAATAGAGTTTTATGTGAGGGATGTTATGCCATTAGACCTGTCAAAGGTCCAGGGTGACTACAACCTAGAATACATTTACGGTAATAATGTCAAGACCCACAATCCTGGGTAGCCCTCCACGACCCATCATCAACCAGATCCCCACACCCACGTATAATCTAGCTAAACTACCCAACACTATACTGACTCCGTATGAATAGCTTGAGCTACCTCATCCCTTTGTGTGTATTTTACCTCAATAAACTTATTTCAACTTCAACTCCATATGTACCAAATATGTGCAGCTTGAAATCAGTCGACGACCACTTAGATATAGTGCTTCTCCAAAGTTAGACATTCTAGAGTCTGCCCTCCGTAATTATCTGGAGATTTGCACCAAGATGACCCCATTCACAACCTTTTGGCAAGACATGTACACGGAGATAGACGGTTTTCAGTCATGGGTAGTAGCCAGGGGCCAGATTCACGAAAGCACTTACGAACGTGTACATCTTTCCTCAATCTTTGACGGCTTTGGTTACATTTATTAAACAGTTTACAAGCATGAAAACTTCCCATTCAACTGTTGTTATTGTTATAAACAGCCTCCTGGTGCTTCGGAGCTCATTAACTGTTTAATAATTGGAAACAAAGCCGGCAAAGATTGAGAAGAGATGTACAGGTTCGTAAGGGCTTGCATAAGTGCTTTCGTGAATCTGGCCCCAGGGGTTTTAGATTTTTAATACAATAAAAATTAATTATTTTATATTCTTACAAAACCACTAACACCCAGAACATTTCTTATAATGCTTCGATTATTTCTGAGTGGGCCCAGAAATTTATTCCCCTAAATAAATAAACAATATCATCATTATGATTGACTAAATCTAATCCTCGAAGGAGAGCTCGGTTGTGAACGCCAGCTAGCGTACAAATATACGAGCGCCCAAAATTAACACATAAGACATATGGAGAGAGACGTGTGGTTTCTGACTTTGTTTTTATTAATTAATATTACATGTTAGGCGTTTATCTTTAATGCATATTATATATAAGTATAACTATAGCACAGTAAATGTAATAAGAATCTACCCAAAAACCGGCCACGGGCTAGTGTTTTGTGCGTTCGAACATGTTTGTGGGCCTTCAGATGTGAAGTGTTGACACTAGCTGGCGCCGTTCTTATGAAGCCTGGATTATGTCCATCACATCCAGCCCGTCCTCCAAACAAAGATCCAAAAGTGATTTCATCCACCCGCCAAACCCCCTGTTTATGAATGAAAAGCGGTTTACACACGACTCACAACTGATTTCGTTCGAACACTTCCGGAACAAGTGCTTCACTGATGAGTTTTGTTCGAACCACATCGCTATAAATGCTTCACCCACGTACTACAAATGCAAATAATCGCCAACCGAACCTAAATACCTAACCTAACCTATGCCTATATATGCACAATATGCTAATATATTATAATATTAATTTATATTTGAGAAAATTCTTGTTTTGAATGAACAGCAAGTTAAAATTTATGAATGCGTCTGTGGGGTTGACCGCTGGATGTAATGGACTTGAGTCGAGGACGGGTTGTCACGTCACTCAACTTCATTAAATAACTATATACCTGTTAGTAGAAGATTTTAACTGTTATTAACACTATATTGTGGCTTTAAAACATTGAGCAATATGTATACGAAACGTATTTAGCTTTGTGTCCGAAATGGTAAATTATATGTATATATGTGCGATCCGTCATAGGTTTCAAGTGTCTATAGTATCGTTTTCAAACTCAGTTGGCTGCGAGGTCTCGCAGCGTGTGGACGTGGTCCTTCACCGCTGCTTTTAATTCGGTAACTACCTATTAATATCTCTCCAGGTTTGGCTTAATATATCAGGCATGTTACAAAATGATCACTTATTAATACTGCGATATTATTGTGGTGTGATTTTCAGTGTTATATTATTTCTGAGGGTTAGATTGAACCGTCTTAATTGACAGTAATTGGCTCGTTAGGTAGTTCATAATTAATTTTAATTACAACTTTACATTTATCAATTATAATGTCACTGGTGTATATTACTAGGTCATGGGGAGCCTTACTATCGTTTATCTGGAACAGTATTTATAAGTAGCCATTGAACTCAAAAATTTTGAACCCCGCAATTAGCAGTGCGAGACACTGCTAAACTATTGCAGTGCCTTTGCTAGCATTTCTGCCTATTAAGTTTTGTTTCTAGTCCTGCCTATTAATAAACCCTATTAAGAGTTTAAGAGTATTAATTTACTGGCACGTTGTCAAATAGATCTGTTACGATCTTGTATAATTTATTCTGCACCTGTGAAGAAAAAATGCTGGTCAAATGTGAGTGGATGTTTCAGACTCTAAATTGTTGTTGACGGAACAATTTTGACCTTATCCATGGTAGGATAAGGTCGATTTTGACGCTATCCATGCTTTAGTTATAACTTTAGTTTTGACGTTATCCATGCTAGGATTAAGGTGGGGGCTAGCCACTTACAGGGTTAAGGGTACACTTCGGTAGTAGGGACGAGTCTAAATGGTTCATTTTTTTTTTTTGAGGGGGGGCCCGTTTAGACTGTCGGTTTTCCAGTTACTTTTACATGGGCCGTTTAGACTTTAATTTGTATGGTATACCACGTTCTTGAGCTTTGCTTTGAATATTTTTGTCATTTTGACTCCACGTCGCAGTTCCTTGTTACGTCAACCACCAAACTTTTGTTCCAAGTAGCTGAATCTAAAACCACAACATTCATTAATTTAATTATTCTGTTTGGCAGTCCAAGACATCGGTGGAACATCGACGTTTCCTCACAAAAATGCAGGCACTGAGGCTATATTTTCTAGAGAGAAATTATCAACGTTTGAGAAAGAGCTTAAGCCCAGATTCCGTTGCTTCACATCAACGTTTCTTCACGGCCGCGTCGAGGATCGACCCTTCCAGAATTTGTGTTGATAAAGTTTTAGAAACGATGATGTTTGTAAATGACTTCAGAGACACTGACATAACTAGGCTAAACTTAACCAGGACTCGCCTTGGTCTGTTTTGGGCACAAACATTTGCCTCGTTTATGGGGACAAAGTCGGTTATTATGACTGGTAAGTGGGAGAACGTTCTCTGGAACATTGTTATGCTTGTTAGACACTGGAGGCCAGACTTCATACTGGATAATGCCCTACATTCTCCTATCTTGAAATCATGGATTCTCAAGTTATTCGTTGATCCCAACTTGTGTCCAAGCCCTGACCTTCGCCTGGAAATGTTAAGATTTATTGGCATGTGGCCAATGGCTTATTTTGAAGACAGCACTTCCGGCAGGCAGGCAGCTGCAGGGTTGGTGGCCACGAGCGCTTATCTGTATATATATCCTCCCATAACCAGTGAACTAGAGAAAAGCGTCTACCATCATCTCGTCAAAGTGTGGAACAGCCTTAATATATACGGTCACCTGAATGTTGTTGCCGAAGCGGCGATAGACCAGGTGAGAAGTCTAATTATTGGACCAGAAGTAACGTTTCTTAACAACATGTTACAGCTGCTGATGCAGACGGCAGCCGAAATGCCGAGAACGTATGCTACATATTCTAATGGCATATATCACGCTGCAAAATTATTCCAAAACATCGTATATTTATTTCAGCTGTTTGTGACAACTAATCCCATCATAGAGGCATATAATTGTCCTGGTTTGACTCAGACTGCTGCAGTTTCTCTGTTTACTATAACGTTTCATATAATAACAATGAGCTCTACATTTGCCGTCAAAAGGAAGCTAGATGTCGGCCTCCTCTTAAGACTCTTCCCTAGCCTGGACGACCTTTACAAAAAAGTTTCATCAACGCATATCTCTAGAGTTCTGCGCATAAGGTACGGTGAGCTGCTGTCTTCCCTTAACAAGCAAGTGGCAGTGACGGGATTCCATTTCAATAACTTTCCAACACCGGAGGAGTCGACAGAAGAGTGCCCGGAGCAGTTCGTGGACAGCCTGACGCAGGCGGTGATGGAGGCGCCAGTGTTGCTACAGTCGTCCAAGATGGTGGTGGACGAGTCGACGCTGGTCCACCTACTGCTGGAGTTCCCCTCCGACCCCTTCACTCGGTGCCCTCTGGACCCCGGCTCCTTCAGTCGCCTGCCCGACCTCCAGGCTGACATTGCTGCTTGGAGGAACACCTCCAGAGGTCATAATGATGTCAACGTTAGCAGTAGAACCTACGACGACAACGGCGACAGTAGTGATGTCGCCAGTAATGATGACTATTACTTTGGTGACGACGACGACTATTTCTTTGGTGATGACGCGTACTACTGGAGTGACGACCTCTACTACTGGAGTGACGACGACGACGACGACTTTACTGAATACGACTTCAACATTGGACATGACACCAATATAAGCAGTGACGACGACACTGACGATATAATCGTCAGTAGTGTTAGTTGGAGTGAGTGCCAACTAAGCAATTTGTTGCACCAGTTTTATCATATTTGAGCTCGAAGTACAGCATATTCAATGTTATTTCATTTATTATTATAGATGTAACAAATCTCACTCGTTAAATGTAAAAAATGTAAGTTTTTAATTTTTTTAAGTTTTTAGTTAATAAACATCTACAATATAAATACAAATGAATTGTGTATTCTTTAATAACAATGTTACCTAATCAATAGAAGTAAAAGAATCTGGGATATTGAGGAAGCCTATTAGTCCACAAGAGGCTGTTTCTATTTATATCCACCCAAAGTGGATACTACCTCATTCAACAGTATTATTTATTTAAAGACTTTAAATAGCCTTTAAATAAAATAAAGATTTTAAAGCTCCTCTACTGTCAATAAAGAAGCAGGCATTTTTACCACATTTGACTACTTCCTGTAATCCTGCTAATACACCTTGGAGTTCAGCCTGGGTTGAAGAGACATTGTCAGTTAAACGGCGTCCAATAACAGTATCTACAGTGCCGATGTCAGTGTACTCCCTGATCAAGACTCCACATCCTGCCTTCTCATCCCTAGCTACTGACCCATCACAATATACATTAAGTGTAAAATCCTGGTTTGTCTCGGAGAGGCTACGGGATTCAGTAAGTTCAGTAGAACTTGGGTTTCAACCCTTTTACCCTGTCGTAGCTCAGTCGATAAAGGCAGTGTCTGGGATGCTCCCGGACGTAGGTTCGAATCCTCGTCACGGCCCTTGTGGATTTGTTCATTTGATGCATCACGTTAGTGTGATCTCTGTGTGCGTCTTGTGCTATGACTTTTACTCGGAAGCAAGTCGTTCTTCGCCCTTCTTTGACGCTTTATGGTCTCGCCCCTGTGTACAAGGATTCTGCTAAGCTTTTCGGGTTAATATTACACTCTTTTGTCTTGGTCGCCCCATATCTCTTACCTCGGAGCTGAATTCTCCAAGACCCTTACCCTCCTTCCTCCAGGCAGCAATGTCAGCCTGGAGGTCGGGCAGGCGACTGAAGGAGCCGGGGTCCAGAGGGCACCGAGTGAAGGGGTCGGAGGGGGACTCCAGCAGTAGGTGGATCAGCGTCGACTCGTCCACCACCATCTTGGACGATTGTAGCAACACTGGCGCCTCCATCACCACCTGCGTCAGGCTGTCCACGAACTGCTCCGGGCACTCCTCCGTCGACTCCTCCGGTGTTGGAAAGTTATTGAAATGGAATCCAGTCACTGCCATTGACCAGTCATAATAAGACTTTGTCCCCAAAACAGACCAAACTTGGTTATGTATAGTCTAGTTATATGTAAAGTCACTTGTATTCCTCACCGTTTCTAAAACTTGATCAACACAAATTCTGGAAGGGTCGATTCTTGACGTGGCTATGAAGAAAGCTTAATGTATAGCAACGCAATCTTGGTTTAAGGTCATTCTCAAACGTTGATAATATCTCTCCTGAGAATGTGGCGTCTCTGCCATGATGGAAAAGCAGTAATGTTCCACCCAATTGATTGATGAAGATTAAGCCACCCAAAGGTGGCTTGGGAATAAGTAGCCGTAAATTGATCCACCAAAGTATTGCACTGTCAAACGACGTGTTGTTGTTATAGATTCAGCTACTGGAAACAAAAAGTTCCAAGTAGCACGGGCTATGGTGAGCCCGTAGTGGTCTTACCTAGCACAGGAGCGGGGCTCTAACTGGTGAAGGAAACGAAGACTTGTTGTTTTAGATTTAGCTACTCGGAACGAAGTGTCCATGTAGCACGGGCTATGGTAAGCCCATAATTGAGCTCGGTTATTCGCGGTAACCTTGTTACTGTGATATTTGGGTCAAAGTTTTAAATGGAGGTGGGGATTCCTCCTTTTTCCTTGTTTCTTTTTTGCTTCTGTTTTAGTGCACTGGTTTTAGTGCACTGGTTTTAGTCTTGTCTTATTAACATTATCTTGGTGGCGGATGTAGATGCAGAATGCTCACTAGTGAGTCCCATTGCTCAACGGCTTTTCTAATCATTGTAATGTGCATCTAATGCAGCTGCTGTCGTTGGATTAATGTCGAGTTTGATGCGCAGGGGTTCAGTAGCTTCACATTCTAGTAAGTAGTGCAATAGTGGCGCCTCTGCTTTTGTTCCACAGATATGACACTCTTTAACTATTGGGTTCATTACCTCCTAGCAGCACTTGTAACCAAGTCTGAGTCGGTGTGTGGCTACTGCAATGTCTCTGGATATCTTTTTGCCAGGCTTGAAAGAGGAGTACCCATGCATGCAGTGACTTGTTCGTACTATATCGCAGTGGATCTTCCTTCCGCTACTTTAGCTCTGAGACGATTTTTGATAGTTGAGAATATTTTCTTCTTGATTTGCTCCTTAATCTGTGAGAAACTTGGAGGTATGTTATATGCTATCAATATCCTGTATTGTGCCTATTAGTCTTTGTTAAATCATCAATCAAGCTGTCAATGCTGTCAATCAGAGCTACCGATGTACTTTAATATATTATCTAATCTCTCTCATTTTTCTTTCTTGCAATGTACATGTTAATTTAACATTTTATAAATGAATTTACTAAATTCTAGTTGCTAGAATTTACCTTCTTAAAATTGTTAGACAAAGGACCTGCCCGGAACGCTGCGCATACTAGTGTATGTACTAATAATACGCATACATAATTTATCTTTACCATTGTGATCATTGCTGTCTTATATGTGCTGTCAATCTGCTGTATGGTGTCTATTAATCTTGTTTAAATTACTAATCAAGCTGTCAATGTAATCAATCAGAGCTTTAATATAACAATGTGCTTTAATATACTTATCTCTCTCATCTCATTTTTCTCTTGTATGTATCTTTCATTTATCAATTCTGATTGAAATTACTTAAAATTATCTGCTAGATTAAGGACTTGCCCGAAACGCTGCGCGTACTAGTGGCTTTACAAGAATGTAAATACTGTACTATCCAATGTATTCTCACAAACCCAATGTACCTTCTTGTATATATATATGTATATATGTATACATATACATATATGTATATATATCAAATAAAAATGAATTTTGGAGAATTGATTTTTGAATTACCTCCAACAGTGAAAAGAAATGTACGAAAGATTGAGAAAATTCGTGTTATAATTAATCTTACTTTTTCGGTCATATTTAATAATATATGTCTTGTATATAAATAAATAAATAAATAAATAAATAGTGGCTTTACAAGAATGTAAACACCATGCTATGTATCCTCACAAACCCATTGTACCGTCTTGTATATAAATAAATAAATAAATACTTCAGGACCTCAACCCGACACCCAACCATTGATTAAAAAAAAAGAGGCCTTTTTTAAAAAGATTATTAAAAAATATAGCAAAAAAGGAGGTGCTATATTAAGTAGGATTATGGTATAGCTATACCAAAGGATATATATAGTATGTATGGAGGTAAGTGGGAAATTGTTAAAAGTTGGGTGCCTCAAGGCTCTGTCCTGGGACCTCTGTTATTCATAATATATATAAATGATTTAGATTTAAGCAGCAATATTTGCAAATTTGTCTGATACGAAAATCGGGAGGGAAATAGACACGGAATAAGACTATCACTTCAAGGCGATCTAAATAGGATTTTAAAAAGGTCAAAAGAACAAATCCACAAGGGCCGTGACGAGGATTCGAACCTACGTCCGAGAGCATCCCAGAAGCTGCCTTATGGTCAAAAGACTGTCAGATGCAATTTAGCATTGACAAATGTAATGTTTTCTGGCTAGGTAATAATGATAGTTTCGAGGTAGATGGTGGTGAGATTGCGAAATCCGATTGCGGAAGGTATCTGGGAGTTATGATTAGTAAGAATTTAAAATCAAAACATCAGTGCATTACATAACTATCAGGTAACATAAGAGACGTAGAATCCATTGATTGTTTCAAGTTTATGTTGCATAAGGAATGAATTTGGGTGAATATGAATAGGAGGAGCCTCGTGTGGACTAATAGGCTTCTTCAGTATCCCCGATTCTTATACTTCTATTATTAGGTAATATTGTTATTAAAGAATAATAATAATGTATTTATATTGTGGATGTTTATTAATTAAGAACTGTCATACATTTTTCGCATTGAACGAGTGACATTTGTTACATTTATATATAATAAATATATATAATAAATGAAATAATAAATATAACATGCAGTACTTCAAGCTCAAATACCATAAAACTGGTACAGCAATCTGCTAAGTTGGCACTCTCTCTTGGTAACACTACTGATGATAATATAGTCTGTGTGGTTTTCACTGCCACCACTGGTGTTGTCGCTACCACTTATATCGTTATTTCTGCCACCACTGGCGTCGTCCTTGCCATCACCACTGGCATCCTTGTAATCGCTAGTGCTGTCTTCGTTGTTGACATCATTGTGACGTCTGCAGGTGTTCCTCCAGGCAGCAATGTCAGCCTGGAGGTCGGGCAGGCGACTGAAGGAGCCGGGGTCCAGAGGGCACCGAGTGAAGGGGTCGGAGGGGGACTCCAGCAGTAGGTGGACCAGCGTCGACTCGTCCACCACCATCTTGGACGACTGTAGCAACACTGGCGCCTCCATCACCACCTGCGTCAGGCTGTCCACGAACTGTTCCGGGCACTCTTCCATAGACTCCTCCGGTGTTGGAAAGTTTTCGAAATGTAATCCAGTCACTGCCACCTTCTCGTTGAGGGAAGACAGCAGCTCACCGTACCTTATGCGCAGAACTCGAGATACAGTGCGGGTAACATGCGTTGATGAAACTTCTTTGTAAAGGACGTCCAGTCTAGAGAAAAGCCTTTGGAGGAAGCTGGCATCCATAGCGGCAAATGAGGGGCTCATTGCGACTATAGAAGACGTTATAGTAAACAGAGAAACTGCAGCAGTCTGAGCCAGGCCAGGACGACCATATGCCTCTGTGGTGGGCTCAGCTGTCACAAACATCTGAAATAAAAATACGATCTTATGGAATAAATTTGCAGCTTGATAAATTCCCATAGATTTTGCAACATACTTTTCTGCTATTGTTTCTGCAGTCTGCTTCAGCAGCTGCAACATGTGATGGAAAAAGGATGCTTCTTTGCCCATCTTCAGACTTTTCACCTGGTCTACGGCTGCAGCGACAACAACATTCAGGTGATCGTATACATTAAGGCTGAACACCACCTTGACGA